TCCAGCTGACCAGTTAGCCAGAGCTCAGCTGAAAACGTTAGAATAGTTTGAAAAACTTGCAGTCAGTGATTGTTCCTCTTGCAAAATGCTCAACAGAAAATGGCTGCGCTAAATTAGTAGGACTGTTGGTGTGTGTCTGAGCTTATGAGTGTGCACCAGTGCATCGTAGCCTCAAGCCACTGTTTTGCTGACTTGTTACATTAAGCTAACACTGGCCAGACACCCATCAATCCTCCCTAACCTGACCCAGCAGGCCTGAGACAAACAGAGGAAAGGGGGAATGGTTTGCATCACTGAATGAATGTAAACAGCTTGCGTGTGTGTTTTTGTCACACATCCAGTAAAGGTTTGACAGGATGACTCTAAAGGGAAAAGTGGCACAAAAAAAGCAGCAGTCAGCAAACAACAGCATATTTTTCATTGACAGCAGACGCCTCCACTCTATTGGTCTTTAAATTCTCTTGTCCAATTATGGCTTTTCTCAGAACTGGGTCTTCTTGTTTGTTCATGCTGTGGCCTGTTTAGACAGCTCAGCCTCCCTGTGCTGGATATATTGAGCTAACCACTGCTAACTGCACTCCACCAGTTTTAAAATGTGTCATTATTATGGAATTATTATGTTATTTGCACCCTGATTGTCAAAATTGTATAAACAAAATCAAATATTCTTGTGTTAGAGTTCAGGTTAGTTGCAATTGACCTTCATGCTAATTACCAGATTACCAGTTAACTTGATACCTGACATTAAGAAGGAAGTTAGTTTGTTAGATGAAAGTGAAATAATATTTTTGACTCAGCTTTTTCATGTATTTACTCTGCCTTTTGTCATCCTTTATGCACAAATGTAGCTAGTTATAACTAGATGAAAACAAAAGGATGAGGCTCTACACAAAAAAAAATTAAAGCAACACTTTTTAATCAGAGTATATCATCAGCTGCCCAACACTGCCACAAGGAGGTTCTGGGGGACAGGCATTTACTGTAGGAGAGCTGGACAGGGTGGTAGAAGGCCCTCAATCCATCACTGGGACTAGTATCTGTTCCTTTGTGCAAGGAGGAACAAGGTGTGCACTACCAGAGCGACAACATGAACTCCAGCAGACCTCTGGTGTGAATGTTTCTGACCCAAAAAAATCATAAACAGACTTCATGAGGGTAGAGCTGTCTGGTACCGTAGAGCCCTATTGGTACATGCCATCAAATACCAGAATTGGCCGGTCCACCATTGAGAGCATGTTCACCTTGAGTGACACACGTGACCCTGGAGAAGCTCTGGAGAATGGGATGCGGTGCATTGTTCAGACTGACATCTCTGGTGGTGGGTCAGTGATGGTGTGGGGAGGCATCCCCATGATGGGACACACTGACCTCTACAGGCTAGTCGACACCATCCTGACGGCCATTGGGTGTCAAAAAGAAATCCTTGGACGGATTGCCGGAAACTTGGGTTACTGCTAGTAACTCGGGAAATCACCTTGTTGGTGCAGGAATATTATTTTATATCTGTCACACTGTATTGTTGATTTTTTTTTAGGCCAGTGTTAAGTGGCTCAAAAAACCAAAAAACATTCCTCTTCAAACGGTCGGGTACAAGGACTGGACTGAAAATGGGTGAAAATGCAGTCAATGTCCAAGGAAAAACTTTGAAGACCTTCAGAAAGTTTCTGCTCAAGAACACTTAAGAAAAACATGATGAAAGTCTGACTGCTGAAAACGGAAAATATAAGAAAATGAAGGCTTAAGATGTCTGCACAGCACTGCATGGTTTGTATGTAGTCTTCATGTAGCTTTAGTCTTAGTCACTCTGCAACAGCACGATAAACATCATTCAAGACTGAACTCAGATCACCACAATATAACGTTACAACTGTGAAAAATGCAGAACACACTTCACACCACACATTAAGGCAGTTGGATGACACGCCAACACGACATACACATCCACACAGCCAGATTAAAGGAAGTGCAAATGACAGCTGAGGTGAAGTTGCTCTGTCACACAAATGTTTTGTGAGGTGAGCAAAAGACTTAAACAGTGTAAAAATTGTAGGAATTTTGTCAAATGGTAAATGGCCTGTATTTATATAGCGCTTTACTAGTCCCTAAGGACCCCAAAGCGCTTTACATATCCAGTCATCCACCCATTCACACACACATTCACACACATTCACAAATCTGACTTAAACTTCAGATGTCACATGTTCATTTGATCCAGACGCTTGGTATGTGGACATGATGTGGAGAGACTGCCCACCAGCAATTACTGTGTCACACAAGCGATTAATACGTCTAAATGTATTCATTCATTCCTTGTTTCTAAATGAGACTATATAGCAGCTTGGTTATTCTTTCCAATTCCCGTGTTCAGTTTCTTTTTAATGCAGATTTTCCTTTTTGATGGTGCCGTCAGTCATCCAGCTCAACTTGATTTGTTTTGGACACACCGTCACCGTTTTTGACGTATTGCTGCCACCTGCTCATGCTGCAGCAGACTTTGCTTTGTGTCCGCAGCCTTGGGTACCGCTCTAATGAGAGTAACCACATTAGCTCAACTGGTTCAGTGCTAGATTGCATTAGAGCAATAAAAACAAAGGTTAACTGGACATTAGAATGAGATTGAGGAAGGATCTTAATGTGAAATGGAAACCTCCTGGGGGTGTTCCTCACACAGAAACAAACACATGTCCACACTAATGCTGTTACACTTCAGCTCATGCCCCCCTTCTCCGCCTTTAATATTGGGTTCTTTTGAGTATCTTGCACCTCCATGAGGTGGCTTAAATTTCTGTGACGCTGTGAAGTGGAAATGAAACAAAGCTGTTGGCTCAGGTGGGTGAACGAAGGATTTATGCTGAGAACAATTAGAGAGTGTGTGGTAGAGCTGGAGGCTCAGTTGCTGCACAGTATTAATGCTGACCTTTTACCACAGTGTCCCCTCACTCCCAGCTGGACCGTCCTGACTCTGGTTCTGCTGGAGGTTTCTTCCTGTTAAAAAGGAGTTTTTCCTTCCCACTGTTGCCAAATGCTTGCTTATAGAGGGTCATGTGGATGTGAGCTTGACAGATTGTCTGTCTGTGGTACCCTGGAACAGGCTGGCAGTTTGTTTTTCTGCCTCTGGAGCCATAACCATTGAGATAAGCTCCAGCCCCACTGTGACCTTGTACTGGATCGAAGGAATGAATCTGTAATTGCTCTATTTTATAGAAAATCAAATGTTAGCTCCAATAATGGTGTCACTGCAGGAAGTGACACACAATCATGCTGTTTAAGTGTTGCCTTGAATTCTGAATAAAATACAGATTATGTTTCCAGCAAAGTAAAGATAGACCTCAAAATAACAATTGTTTCTTTTTACTTGTGATTCCTTCCATACTTTACATGGTCTTCTAATTTTGTTGCCCAGTGGTCAATGCAAACAGCTTACAGGCGTGCAGCGTGTTAAAGACTGATTGCAGACATCTTCATCCATTAGTAACGTGTCACATTCTGCCAGGCACCTTTGAAAATGATGGACAATAAGTGTAGATGAGTTAAGTTAAGAAGATGAGAAACATCCATCCATCTTCATCC